ACCCCATCCCCATATAAATTTAATAGCCCGATGAGAATTTAGCGAAAGCCTACGTATGCTCGCTAACTACTCTTCTGAATTTTGCTTCAGTTTATAGGAAACTCGGACATCAGCATAAATAAATACGTTATTTTCTGAAATGCGAGTGCTTTTCCTTAACAGGATCGATTGGTTAATTTGTGTACTTTTATGACGTTAAATTTCAAAATAATGCTGACGGGCAATTTCTTTTAATACACTCATAAGTTCCAGGCAAATACACATAATTCACAAGTACCCGCGACAACACCCACAATCAAACTTTTTAACATACGGCAAGATATTCTTTGTGTAGCATGGTCTCCCCCATACATAAATTACAAAGACAGCGATCGCGAGCCTGAGGTCTATGACTCTCGCACGAAACAATCATCAGAGATAATCGCAGATAAGGGTGATAGAGACACAAGGTACATAATATACAAAGAGTCGGACGCGGAATGCCAAACTACCAACGTACTAATTACGGTCCCCGGGAGTGATCGCAAAAGCTGCTAATTGTAGTATGTATGTGGACGCGTGGCCAGGTCGCTGACGGTGGATCAAGGTGAGAATCCGAAACGTCATGCCAATCGATTTGTTTTCCAGCAATCACAACTTTTCCGTCAAAATAGCCTTCTGCGGCTCAACCTCTTCGCTTCTATCAACAGTGTAAGTCATTTAAGTAATATTTGACTATTTACCGTAAAACAGGCCTAACGGCAAGCAAATGGGACGAAACTGGTTTCGATAACAAGGGCAGAAACAATGCCTTTTTGATTCACGGCCAAGGATACACGCAAAAAAACTAAAATGTTTCGATTTTTCTCAGATTACACTTTGGAAAAGGATGACGATCGTGAGCAATCGTCAGTGACATGCTCAGGTTGATCCCTTTTTCAAGACCAGGACAGATTGACGATGACCCCCAATTATAATCACTTGATTCAGACAGCGTTAAGCTCTCCTGTCCCGCAGCTAGCGGTCAATTCTCGGTTCGGCTTCTATTCTTGATGGCCTCTTCCACGGCCCGAAGTTCCTCGTCCACATACCCCTTAAAATAGCGTCTTCGTGTACTCTCTGATTCCCCTAAAATATTGTTAGCAAAAGCAGTAGAATAACAAATATTATATAATATCAGGCAGTGAGTCAGTCAGCTCTTGCCTATGCCGTTGCACGCCGTACACGTCAAATAATACCGATTACGCGCGCATGCAGGAAATTCAACGCGTTTAACGTGTGCGAACCAATCAAAGGTCAGATTGCGTCATTGCGGTTACCAATTGCGTTAGAGCATTGCGTATCTCTAAAAAGAGCTATTTATGTCAATATATTGGATATCTAGTTACAACTAGTATACTAGAAGCTATCCAATAGTACATTCGTTGCAGAACTCCATTTTCTTCGGCATGATTGAACGAAGCTGCAAATATGACCCAGACCGGTAATTACACACAGAAGAACGTCTGAAGAAGCCTTACTTGCGTGAAAGCTTTCCAGAACTGTCCTCCTTTGAAGCTTTCTATAAAAAACTATAAAAGGAGCGTCAACAAAGGCAAGGAGGACTTCGATTGCTGATTATTTGTCGTCTGACAGTCTTGTCTAACCCCGAGATTCAAATCCGTGTCCATCCATCCATCTTTATGAAATTAAACACACTAACAGTTCAGCCACGGAGTTGTTATTCGGTCAGGTGTTATCGGAAATATTAACTATGTTAGGAGTGTGTCCACCTCAGAAGGTGATCCCCAAATTAGCATATTCTAGGGTCTATATGTGCAGACCGAAATTTGATAAGAATATTCGGGCCAAAGTCCACCAGGCACTGTGACATAATTGCGTACTATTTAAAAGTTTTAATCAAGTAGTCAGTAGTATAAACTACGTAATTATTAACCAAACTGGCAGCACAAGTAATAGATAAGAGCCCAGACACAGGTTTCAGCGATATCGTGCCGCTGCCTGACACAGCTATGAGAGGTCCGGCTCATCAGTGGGCTTCCAAGCGCTCTCTACATGCTTTCCGATAGATACTCCAGTTTTTGATATTTCAGCTTCTTAATTTCCTCAGAAATCACTTTGTGACTTGGAATAGCCTAGTATATTCAAGAGTCTACAGGTCTAGACCGAGGTTTAACTCTGATCAAAATCTGAACCCAGAGACAAACGAGTAGGCGCAAGCAGCACAGATAGTCCGCAAGTCCATTATTATTTATCTGAACGGAAGTTCCTCAGTGGCAATAT